GGATTTAAAACAAATAACAGTTAAAAAAAATAGATAAGGATATTATAAAATATATATGGGGTTTTAAATTACACTATGTGGAAAAATATACTTTATATAGGGAAATAATAAAGGGGGATTAGCGGTACCTTGTCTATTATGGAAACAGGAAGACAATGTTTTTAACCGTTAGTTTAACCTAAAGCAAATCCCAATATGCTAGGGGAAGCAATATATACAAAGACTCGTATAATTGGGCCAACATAAAGTCATTAAAAAATACAAACGTATAATTTTTAAATAATTACATATTGTGTGGTTGACACGAGAAGTAGAAAAGAGGATGAACATGATTAGATTAATTCCAAAATGCCCTCTTTGCAAACAAACAAACAAACAAACAAACTTTACAAAAAAAACAAATTATAACCGAATGTAATAAAATAAAAATACAAAAAGAGAAAATTATCCAATCAATATCGAGAGAAACTGCATATCAAAATAATACTCTCTTATGTTTGGATGCGAAATTGGAAAGAACGAATTTATTTGAGAGAATAAACTATATAATAGATACAATGAAGCAATGTGGTCAAATTATAGTAATACATAAATAACCCTGTAACACGTCTTCAAAAATAGGAAATTGAATTTTTCCCCCATTAAAATTACTTATTAACGATCAGACATGGAATCCAAATAACTAATTAAATTAAAGTAACATATACTGTATATTTTTTTATTTTTTTGGTAGTTAAGAAGGGACGGGAACCAGCGTAAGTATGAAGTAGGAGACAGAAATGCCACCAGGCGATACCACAAGGCGCTACGCGAAGTGGGAAGGCTTGGGAGGAGGAGCCTCTGAAGCACGCGTGGGCAGGATATGGACATACAGTAGAAAAATACATGGGGAGTCTCTATTTGATATTTATATTGATGATTACATGATTTAGAAAGTCTCTAACAATATTTTGTATTTCGAATTCCATATTTGACATTTTGGAAATTTTATATTTGGATATTAATAAATTTCTTTATGGAGAGTATGGAGTAAGGCCTGGCAATCGACAAGATGAGCGAGTCAGATTAATAAACAAAGACTCGTAGCTTCTTGCAAACCGGCTTTGCTACCAGCCTCCTATATTAAACAAAACATGACAAATGACACATAAAACAGATATCATCAAGGCACTAGGCTTTTATTTATTGCAACAAAAAAAACTTACACAATTTCTCATACAAAATTGTAAATTTTAAACTGAAACAAAATAAAACAAATAATTAAATATTATTTAATAACAACAACTTGTAAATAATTAGATTTTAATTTGCCGTCCTTACACAAACACATATCTAGCCTACGTACAATATAGCAGCAATACGCATATAGCATACACCGGACGTAGGTGACCCTTAGGCAAGGGTCACGTGATATATAAAAGGGATGCATCGGCTCAATCTGATGATTAAAATCGGAAAGAGGAGTCACATTTAGATACACTAGGGAAAGAGAAATACCCCATTTTAAATTTTTGGTTTTCTAAATTCTTTTATAAATATAAAACATTTGCAACACATTCGGGGTATACATAAAAAAAACTTAATTTTTGCTTAGGGGGATCTTTTTGATCCCTTCCCCCTAAAAACGAAGATACACATGAGTAGCTCAGTGATAAAGTTTATATCACAGAAATGATGTATAAAATTGCAGTTTAGCCATTCCCGTATAACTTCAAGGTAGAGTCAGACAAGAGATGCACTTTTCTTTCACTTGTCATCATTCTGCTCTCCTCTGTATTTATTTATTTACTTATTTATTTTTTATCTTCTCCAGCATCATACAAATGTCCCAAGTGTGATGAGCGTAATACAATTAGTGAACTTAACAGATTTGTACATTTTAAACTTTTTATATATTGTTATTTCTGACATGCTTTATCGTCAAATGTATTTAATCATGTACCAATAGCTAAAAAAAATGTCTGCATGTTTCCGCTGAGTAACTTCTTTTGTATCTTTTTCTGCCAAATATAACATACCGCTTTTAAATCGAGTCCAACTGCAACGACCCTGATCTGCTGTAGCATAATGCGCCTGAACGACAAGGTATATGTTATATTTATTGATTATTTCCTGCATAGATCAAGATCTACCGACGCATCACGCGAAGCCTGTGTCTGCGCATTTTTAGTTTGATTTAGTTGTATAAGCGCTTAATGACGGCGATGCTGCAATAAATAAGGATATTGATTACAGTTTATCGGGATAAAATGGAAACAGTCAACCCCTGAATCTAGTTTAAGATGTTATTAGATGAAATCTGATGCCAGCGGCCATCTTGTTTTATCTGCAAGAGCCTAATCGATTTTTATATATTATTTACAGTATCTATCAGGCATCGTTTAAACGATATTTGTTAAAATTAACGACGCCTTTGATGATTACGGGATTCAGTGTACGTAATAACTCGTTGTTTTGTTTACAATTAATAACTTCAAAGCCATGATACGAAAAATTACACTAAATGAAAATATTGTTAGTTTTAAGAGCAACCCTTTATGCCAAAATCTGCGAATGCCTTGAAAATATCACAGAAAACATTCGTAACATTTTTTGCCTTGGTCTAGCACAAAAGAAATTGTTGTGTGTGTGTGTGTGTGTGTGGGGTAAATGTCCGTTAACTGATGCCTCATCTGGTGACAAATTTGGTAGATGTGTGAAATTATACGATGTTGCATATTATAGTTGCGCTCTTGTCGTTTGGATTTAACGCCATTTTGAGCACATAATAGGCTACACATGGCCAGTATAAACTGATAGAGGAAGAACCAGGGAAAAACACGGTAAGAACCACCGACCCACTAGTTGCTTCAGGCAAGCCGTCTCACCGGCTGACGTTATGATTGGTAAAGGCGAGCGCTTTACTCTGCCACCCGGGGGCCCTTTAGTTCTGCAGATTGCCCGATGTCTGGGTGCACCCTCTCAAAAACACTTGGATAAAGCAATAATACGGGACGATTGCTTAGTAGAGCAATTTTGAAATTTTTTTAATTATACTGGTACTACATTTGCTACTTTCCAGTCGGTATAACTAAAATAAAAAATACGAGTCATGTCCGCTGATATGACAACTTTTGCGAGAATGATTTGCCCCATTTAAAGGTAAAACTCAATTTGATTAAATTAAAGTAAAGAACAGACACATCAAATGACGAATGACCTACCGAATCAATGGCAAAATTAGCTTTTTTTCCCCCGAGTGAAAGCAAGTCTTTGTAGGCTGAGGTCTAGATAAGACAACGATTTACATTTTTGTAATAATGACAATTATCTTTCAATAAAAATAAAGAAATATTGTTTCGTAATAACGTCTATCCCATTCCTGGAATAAACAAAATCGAATAAATTACAGATCCAATTTTGATATATAACGACCGTAAATGTTATATCCGCTAATATTTTATCTTATCCGCGGATAAGGGTCATAAACGCACTTATCTAGACCCTTCCGGGGACGCTGAAACACCGATGTAGGTAATTTGATGCACGGTTGATCCAACATAATCCATGATTATGCTACGGTTATCCAGAACGGGAATAGGGATTATGGATGGTTCAGGAATTTGGGGTAAACATTCTGATTTTACAGTTAATTGTTCTCGAAAGAACTAAATAAATTTTTTGTTGTTGTTGTTGTTGTTGTTGTTGTTGTTGTTGTTGTTGTTGGGCTTAACGCCATTTTTCAGCACACGATATGCTATTCATGGCGGCCAGTATTGATGGTGGAGGAAGAAACCGGGAAATCACCGGAAAGAACCACCGACCCACGAGAAGCTACTGGCAAGCTTTCTCACCTATCCACATTCGCCGAATCCTAGACTCGAACCCACGCAGACAGAGGTGAGATGGCAGTGATCCGTAACGGACAGCGCTTTAAACCACTCGGCAACTCGGGGCCCCAAATAAATCTTTTGCCTTTTTTCATACTCAATTATAACCGTAGTTGTTACAAGCAATGATTCGCAAAAAATCACCCCTTTTTTTAATTTTTACATCCTCTTAATTTCTCTCTCTTATTTCCAACAGTCTTTCGTGTTAACTTGTAAATACCCGAATCGTTAGATCCGCGTGTTGTAATGTTTGCATTTAGAACTCCCACTCTAAAAAATTCGCAACTTTTCCTTTTCCCTATAAAAAGATTTTTAGGGTTTTAATGCATTTGATTTGATCATACTTTGTTTTTCATGACTAAATATTTGTCATGCTTCATTATACGTCCGAAATGGCTCCATATTGCTACCAATGCCAATGCCGTGTGGTACACGCTTTCCAATGGTGTCTTGGATTTATTAACCTAAAGTACTCCACACCAACATAGGTATTGTTTTTAATAATTGCATTGTTCAAATTAATTAACTTGACAACGGAGTTCAACCGAACCTAATTCCCTTGGTCAGGTATAATTTAGGGAAGATAAATTTAGCAGACGATATTGATAAAGAACGCCTTTAGCGAGGTATAAGAACAGGCAAAATTTGTTGATGTATGGTTATTGACTATCTGCAATTGGGTGTTGGTGGTGGTGGTGGTGGAAAGAACATGTTTATAAAAACCGCCGATCAGAATGAAACTCAACATCCGGTATCTTTGCCAACTAATAAATTATCGCCTGTAAGGTTTATTTGTATCAATACATTTACAAGCATAGTCAGAAATGTCAGAATCCAGTCTAAAAATTAACAAATTATAGCATTATATAGCAAGTGTAGCCCTATCTTTTCTTGCGGTTTGCAATAGTTCAAAAAAGAGCGCGCGCGTTATTAGCTTTTGAAAAAAAAAGTCATTCATATAGCTACGATGTCTGGGGTAGTGATGCAGTTTATAGTGATGTCTGTCAATGGGGCGTTATGTCGCAGATATATAACATGATGTTCCACCCACATTATCCCGTCAACCAGAAAATCAGTCCTAACACTAACTTCTTAATGCGAGACAGCTATTAGTACCATTTTATATAAGTATGATTTCGTACGGGGTTCAAACCCGCAACCTCCTGCATCTGAAGCGGACTCTACAACCACTAAGCCAATGGAACAATGGGAAAGAAACTGTTTTATCAGTCTCAGCACAATTTACCGTCTGTACTTGCTTATAGGGCGAGTCAAACTGCAAACAACAAAGATTATATGCCGCAGCATAATGCGCCTGCAGATTAGGGTCTATATTGTTTTCCTGATTCCTCTTAACATTCTGCACAGACACATATCTGCCAGCTTTCTATGTACCAGCAGAGCTGGGTCACTGCAGTTTGCATTTCCACTTGACTTATAAGCTAGTAAAGACGGTAAGCCATGTGTACCTCAAAATCCCTCGCATTTGCCCGAATCGAATATGAACCATATGCCCAAGGCTGAATTCCTTAAAGTGTCTGCCATTAAGATGGATTTTCCAGCCTTCCACGTTAGGGTTAGGTTATATTCTTGATTTTTAAAAAATGATACTTAAATACATGAACATCGCCCTCCCCAATCTCTAACAAAAACAACAAAATATAAAACAAAGTGTGTGTGATTTGTATGTGTGATTTAGATTTTTAATATAGCTTTAACAATTTTTTAGTCATATCGCTACGATGCCTGCAGTGTGACAGTTTACAGTTGTTGTTGTCGTTGTTGGGCTTAACGCAATTTTTCAACACACGATAGGCTATTCATGGCGGCCAGTATTAATGGTGGAGGAAGAAACCGGGAAATCACCGGAATAAAACCACCGACCCACGACAAGCTACTGGCTAGCTTTCTCACATATCTACATTAGCCGAATCCTAGACTCGAACACACGCAGGCAGAAGATCCGTAACGGACAGAGCTTTAGACCACTCAGCCACTCGAGGCCCCGACAGTTTACAGAGATATCTACCACTGGAGCATCATGCTGCAGACACGTAGCTTGATGTTCCACCCAGTCACTTTATCCTGACACCAAGCCTACCAGCCCTAACACTAACCTCTTAATGCTGAGCGCCAAGTGAGGCAGCTGTCATTTTTAAAGTCTTTTGTATGACTCAGCCTGGGTTCGAAATCGCGACCTTCCGCATTCGAGGCGGACGCTCTAAGCACTAAACAACAGTGTGTGATTTCAATTACGACATTTGGATGTTTTTGATGATAAGTATTGTTATATTGATAAAATAGAGACACTTTTTTTAACTCTCCAAACTATTTTGATTTTAGTTGTGACATCTTATGGACAATCCATTTCGCTCTCAGTCGACTCTGTTATTTGACACCTCTATGTTCTTTGCAGAAAAATGACAACATTCTGAAATAAATAGTTTGTGAGCTAACACCTCTAAAACCAATGTTGGTAACGGAATAGAAAAAAAAAGAAGGAAAAAAGAGAGAAAACAAAACTAACTAACAAAAACACAAAAGAAATGCTATTAATCTAATATTAGAATTATTCAATAGATTGAAAAGATATTCGTGCGATTAACAGATCAAGTTTACCGTGTGTTTGTTAACTTAAAACATTGAGGGACAAATCTAAAACTGTGACAAATCAAAGGTACCATGTAGTTAGTTATCGGAGTGAAATGCAGTTTTTTTTTTTCTTCTGTTTTTTTGTTGCACCGAATCAAAAAAAAAGGTACCAGCGATATTCAGGGTTGAAGAAAATGGTCTTTTATCGAACTTGTCCATATTAAACAGAGAAGTCCATCTCCGCAACTAAAACACTGATGGAAGGTAGTTCAAAATGTTTCTTATTTTGCATTGTTCTGACGTAGACTGCTCATGTATCATTCACTAACGATAATATCTGTATAGCAAGAGCAAATAATATAATCTGCAGTAAAGGTTAGTCTCTTTTTATCACCCTGATACCGTGAAAATTTGCTCTGGAATTTACTTCAAACTCGAAACATCTAGCTACCGTTTGCAATCGCTTATAAGTCGATTCAAATTGCAAACTTGAAAGACCCAAATCTGAATGCTCTTCATGCGCCACAAGATATGGTTCTATGCAGGTTGTTAGGAATAATCATTAGAATAAACAACATAGACCATGATCGGCAGGCACATTATGTAACCACCGATTATAGCAGTTAATTTTTCAGTTTGTTTGTCTCGAAAGCGAATATAGACGCTAATGACTAACCACATTTAGTTCTCAGTGTCAACTCGGGTGAGTAAAGAATATCCCACCTATGTATTTTAAAGAGTACGTCACTCACCGGGACTAAAATCTTGCGTTGACACGGGAATTAGGGATTAATCCTAGGGTTTGAAATGTGGCGTCACTACTTCTTTTGTCGTACATCCAGTAATTAAATAATCCCCTAGATCAATATCGCCAGGTGCCAAAAAAGGATTTAGATACGCCGGAGGAAGGATACCAACCCGCCGTAAGCCAAATTTAACACCTTCAAAGGCAAACAATAGGTGTCAGATATAAATGTAAAGTTCATTGAAATTACCTCCAGAGTTTCCTTCTCCGCACTTGATCTTTTTTTTTTTTTTTAAAAAAAATATTCGCTAGGATAAGATTTGGGATTCTATAATACTGGCAACGCGATAATCAATTGTATTCAATATTTGCTTAAAGCCCTTATAAGACTTTTAAAAAAATAGAAGACTATAAGACTATTTTGTGGCGTGTAAGAAACAGTAAGCACCCTTTCACAGAAAAAATATATTAACAGTCGGATGATTTATATTTTGCGATTAATTAGCATCAACATTCACGTGCTTCTCTATTCATACAAAAAAAAAAACATTAAAAATATTGAAAAGCATGTTGTCTTTATTATTTATGATAATACATATTTTATTATAACGTATTTTGTAATGTAGCAACAACCATATGGATAATATAAACTAGAGTGGCCTCACTTCAGTCCAGCGATCTAAATCTGGTACTCTGGTCATTTTTAAAATATTTATTTTATGCATGTGGCCTGCGCTTATAGAAAAAGTCAGTTATATAATTATGATATAATTACTATAATACATGTTATGTAATTCCAAAAAACTTTACATGTAACTTGTGGTGTTGAAGATGTTGGACCACCCTGCTATAAACTTGTTGATGTTGTTGTTGTTGTTATTATTATTATTATTATTATTATTATTATTATTATTATTATTATTATTATTATTATTATTATTATTATTATTATTATTGATGATGATGATGATGATGATGATGATGATGATGATGATGATGATGATGATGATGATGATGATGATGATGATAATGGTTATTAATATGAACATTTAGCAATTTTAGTGTGTAAGGAAAGAATATTGTGGTTAGGGTAAGTAACTTTGTTGCAAAGCAAGTTAGTTCCTCGCTTTTGATGACTTAGTGGTTTTTTTTGACAAGGAGTAACATAAAGGTGTCAGAATTTATGTTAAATAAATATAAGTGCACATCGGATAACCAGCTATATGTCAGAAGCTGTAAAATATTAGACACGTTCAATAAACTTGTCAGTTACTCCCTATTTAGTACGGACACAAATCTAAGTTAATTAGTCTGTAATTACAAACTACTACTCTACTCGTGGATTAGATTGTAACGACAGTGTAAACGCCGCGCTGTCCTGCTTTTAAGATTCTAATTATAATCTTCTACGTCGTTCTCGCTTCCATTTAGTTGAAATGTTGAGTAATTGATTTGCGCATTTTTTTCCCCTCACATTTCCTTGCTTTTTAATGCGTAAAAACTGTACGAAAATTTACACCTTTACTCGGGGGATAGTGATTAGGTCATTTGCTTTTTGCCTCAATTTATCTTGTTTGTTCAATAATAAAATGCATTTTGCAGCCATAACATACTAATTCCAATAATCCCGAATGTTTCTTTGCAGTTATTTTGTTATGTGTAATTGTATTAGATTTCAGCTTCAGAATAAACATACCCGTACACTCTACAGTGATCCAGTCACTGTCCGTTATCATTTTAATCATTTTTAATTTGTTGAGAACTTGGCTAAAGTTATGTTACATAGTCTTAAATTTTATGGTCTTGAACAATAATTAAATTTAATGCATAGAGAAGACATTTCTTCAGGCGATTTTACTTAACGAGAAAAATTTTACGATCGCCGGCAATTTCCTATATTTTTTTTTTTTGTTTATCTTAAAAAGTATGGTCGGGGCATTTTGATAATTGATCACTGATAAAGATCATTAGCTAGTCCTAAATATCTAAATTATCTTAAAAATGGCACGGGATGCTCGGAAACACTAAACCTACTTATCGTCCGCGAGGAAGCCAATATTAATTGAACATGAATGCTCCAAATTCCTGTTAACACCTAATTAAATGGTGCACCTCAATAACGATGATTTCGTCCATTGTTAGCGTCTTCCTCTCGCTTGGTATAATTACTTCGTTTCCAACGGCTATTTAGATATGTTTATATAGATCGGGATTTCGAAAGGAAAATGCACAATGGTGTAATCGTGTTCTTTCTTTTTACATCCGTTCGATAGAAGATATACCATAATTTGACCTTATTTTAACGATTTTATTCAGCCTTAATAACTGGAACTCGTTAATTAAAACAAATAACATTAGCAATAACAAATACCTTACGTTTTTAAATAAATAAAAAACTTTTAAGGACAATTATTTGCAGATGCAACACTATCAACTGATTCAGTTATCTGTGTTTATCGTCTTGTCTTAGTTCCTCGACGATTAATTGTTTCGAACTGTAAAATTATCAATCTATAAGTTGTTTAAATCTAAAATAAAGTTTACGAAATTAGTCCACACTACCATATGTGAAGTTATTATTGTTCTTTCTGATCACACTTATATTTAAATGATAAACATATTAAAGCCTGTATTTACTGCAAGATTGCTGATGCTGTATAGTTTTCTTGCTTATTTGCCCTACTGAGTGGAAATTGTTGATATACCCCCTCCCCACAAAAATACATGCATGATCTCTTTTAGAGCTGGATACCACGAAAATACTTTTGTATTATGGTATTTTTAAACATGTTACGATGCGTACCACGGTCTATTGCAAATGTATTAGGAACCAAAAATGTCCATGTTTTGGGACAGGGGTCTGACATT